GATATTTATCAAATATGGTTATATATTGAGAAAAATATATATTTAATTATTAAAGAGAATTAAAATAATAAACACTCAAAAGTATCGAAAATTGGTACCGTTAAGTACCAGTATCGATTCGTAGGTACCGGGAATTAGTACCGGATCGATTCAAATGTCAAAGGTACCCATCCCTAATTCATAATCTCCAGAAAAAGAGAGGAGAATTATAGACAGCAACTGCAGTTGTAAGAATGTTTTGAACTGATTCACATGTATTTAATGTCTGAAACACTATCTGCTTTCATCTAACGTAAGGATAATAGTTTTCTCACAGGAAAACTCTCCACTTGACTGCCAAATAGCCGTTAAATCTTCCAGATGAGTTTAGAGTGACTGGGTGCAAGTTGGCCACAATTACAGCCAGCTGCTTGCACACACTTGCTGATTTCAGCCATTTCTGATACCCCCGACCACGAAAATTAAAAAAAGCATTTTCCCCGGACGTCACAGCACAGCACCTGGTCTTGTTTTGTTATTTTTGCCACACAAAAACGCAACACGAAAAGCCAAGACAGAACTGAGGACATTTCTACAATGTCTAGATATTTTAAAATATGTAGGAAACTTCTCCAGTCGTCTCACAGATTTGCTTTTCTGTATCTTGTTTTGTCTGGGAGCACACATTGCGTTTATGCATGATTTAGCTGGATCCGTTTTAGTTTTGGCAGAAGGTTATACTTGAAGTTTTCTCATCACACATAAGGAAGCTCTATGGGAGGCAAGTTAGTTTAAATCAATCCTATTTATTCTCCTGGGGAGTTTAAGCTTCTTGGAGAGATTAAACAGGCTGTGGATATACTCAACCCTTTGCTGTGCTTTATACAGTCTGCAGCCGCCTCTGGACTTACACTTTGCTAAACATGGCATAATCTCCCTCTTTCCTCCCTGGTGCCAGTGAAACACCCTTCAGAGTGTGAGTAATGGAAGAAAGGTAAGAGCCAAGGAGTATAAATGAAACCATATCCTGCTTCTCCTCTGTTCATAAACATTTATTGTCATACACTTGTAGCTAATGAAAAACTCAGAAACTAGATTCTTTAGTTTTTCTTAAACTTTATCTAAGTCCAAAATTTAATTAAAGTTATGCATTCAGTAACATCTTAAAATATAAACACTCACAAGCCACTTTATTAGGTACACCCTTAGTTGCGTTGGGTTGGGATCCATTTTGGCTTTAAGAACCACCATGTGGACCAGAGGCTCAGGTCCATTTTGATAACATAGCGTGACATAGTTAATGCACATTTGCTTACTGCTGACTGATACATGCTGGATCAATTTGATTGTCGTTGGAGTCCATAGAACTCATCGTCATTTTCAAGAAATTACATAAAGATGATCTGAACTTTGTGACATAGTGCGTTATCCTCTTAGAAGTAAGCATCAGAAGATGGGTTGGTCATAAAGGGGTAGACATGGTCAGTAACAATAGTAGGCTGTCATGTTTAAACCAGGATCAGTTGGTACTAAAAGAGCCAAAGTGGGGCAAGAAAATCCCCTTCACAGCATTAAGCCACCAGCAGCAGCCTGAACTGAAAGGAACCTAGTAGCGGACGGACATTGTTCCGGTTCTTCGGTATTTGGCGGAGATGTTAAAGGTGGAGAAGATGGCGAACTAGAGGAAACACAGACAGATTCCTCCTCTATTTACAAACTCCTGGGGATGCAACAAGTAGGCGTGGTGCGTCGACTACCGGATCTGACGTCGATGAATTTTTAGAATCGAGCCGTCAACGCCATCGACACTTCGCTACAACTCTAGGTTCAATCTGCCTTTATTCTGACATCTACTCTGGTAAACTCACAGTTGTTCACTACTGTTTCACAAAGGCAGGAAGGGAGCATTGGTTTAGGTGGACATTCAGAAGTGGGGCTCAGCAGTCAGGAATGTTGCCCCTCTGGTTCTCAAACGCAGGGTTTTTCCTGCGTTCAAATTTGCGTGGCGACCGCCTCCAGCTAATTTTGTGCCGCCCCATCTTCATTTCTCTCTGCCCCCAGCGGATGATATTTTAATTGCAGTTGCAGCGTTGCACCACGAGAGGGGGCTGTATCAGCAGCGGTGCACCGAAAAGCTCTAAAACCGCTGCAGAAAAAGAAGATCAAAAATAGCTTTTCTCGCTAGTTGGTACATATTTATGGTTGGTGTGTTTGACGTCCTGATTTTCCCCTAGGCTCTTCCATATCAGAGCAGGGCTGTACAGTGTGATGAAAAAAATGTCTGTGCGTGTTGCAATCTCACAATCAAGTGGCACACAGAAAAATATATGATGATCGTAAAACTAAGAAAGACTAAATTCTACAAGCGGATGAAAAGTCCCCACCATCCTGTTTATTCTGCATCCTGCAGCGCTACGGATCAGAACCGCTGCAGATACGAGTCACATTACTGCTACAAGTCTGCTCCACACACAGGAGCTGGGTGTATAGAAAGCCGTCGTAGTATATAATTCACAAACGCTTCTATCTTTGAACATAATTTGAACTGGATCATTGCCAACCCGTACATAACAGACATGCCACCATTACATTGTTGGCAGCATTTCCAACACAAATGCATGCTAATGAAAAGCATTATATTTTACGGGGTATATTTATGTGTTCTTTTGATTAAGATGAGTGTTATTAATACAAACCTAAAATGTTACTGAAATGTAGGTCAAATATTTAAATATATTTTTTAACTATAAATATCAGATGGGAAAAAGGGAACTAAACACCAATCTGATGCAGATTATTGAGCCTTTTTATAATAAGAGTCTGATATTTCAGCCTGATAATTTTGTTGTTTTATTTCATATTTTGTAACAGCAAATCAGCTTTGTTTCACTTGAAACGTTGTTAAATGGAAAATTCAATTAATTAACAGAAGCTTAGATTAGAACACTTAATGAAAAACTATTTTGCCTTTAAAAAAGTGACGCAGTTGAATGCAGAGTATGCATGTGCTGGCGCATGGTCAGGATGGTACCACCTCTGCCTCAATTTGAGCCAGGATAAACCCTGCTCAAACGAGAAGGGTTCAATACAGAAAGGCTGATAGGTTGTTTATATCAATAATAATGTAGCGTGAGGTAAAAATAGTCGGTTATTGGATTTTCTGAACCATCAGCGGATATTCTACAATAATGGCCAGTTGTGTAGTGCAGAATTTCCTGCAACATCACTTGTTCAGCGTAAAATATTCTTAAAAGTTGCTGTTAGCAAATAAATCCTTTAAAGGCTGCCTTGTTGCTTGAGTTGATAAAGTTTATTCAAAACCTAATGAAGAAAGAGTTTGCACTAGATGGAGGTGCAGTCCACCCACATACTCTGAAGCCTGAAAAAATAATGCTACCAGTATGCTAGTAGAATAAGTAACTGGTAGCTTTACGCTTTTATGCTTGTCTTTACTTTATGGATTTTAACACTAAACTTGGTGAATGTGTGTTTTTGAAAGAAAATTTGTAAAAAGACACTTTTGCATCAGTTTCTTCCTGAAATGTGGTTCAAGTAATCCAAACAATTTATTTCATTATCTTTTAAAATCTAATTTTCATTATAGTGAGGCTCCCTGCAACTATTATTTACAATATCATTTTAATTTAAAAACGGCTTTAGTTGATTTAGTTATGCTTTAGTTTCATACATTTTCACAAATTTGCAGCATTTTTTTCTGTATTTTTTAGGTGAATGTCCCCTTTTTGAACATTAGATGGCAGCATTGATCTTTTCAATGCATCTAAACCAAATTAAACATTTCTCTGCATCATTATAATTTTAAGTAGTTTAGTTAAAATGCAATAAGTTAGAATGAAGTGTTTGACAACAAATGATGTAGCATCAGTCCAAAGGTCCTATGGGTGCTGCTTAAATAAAAACAAGCAGAAATATCCCAGTGAGCATGTTAGCTTGACTTTTAAGTTTTCTTAAAGTTGTTTCTCTGTGACATAATTAGAACGAGTTACTGGGTGTCATTCACATGTTTGAGTTACACTTTTTATTTAAGTATGCCTGCACTGGTAATTGGGAATGTTATTGTCAAGAAAGGGTTTATTCTGAGGTTGATAAAAAAGATTCAAAGTTGTTGGTGTTGATATTACACATTTTAATTAGATTTTATTTTTAAATCTTCATTTCAGCAGCTGAAATGTGTGAGACAAAGGCTGTTCGGATCAAACATTTTAAAACGTAATGGATTTAATCTTCTTTCTTTTCTAAATTAAATACCACTGGTTTGTTCAGCTGCTCTTTTATTTGCCTGTCAAAAGAAAAGCTGACAGATGTTGCACAGAAAAATGCAGACTCATTAGTCATATTTGTCACAATCTGTCAGACTAATTTGTTATCACGCCTGGATAACGGGACTAACAATATGCTTTTACAAGTTTGAGTACAAGGATACTATGATAGATTTTCTTCTTAAGAATACATTTGCTTCTTTAAAAATACACTTAGTCCACTTCAGTGGTAAAGTCCCAGTATTTCTATAAAGCGTTCTACAACCCCCCAAGGTGCTTTACAACGCAACCAGTCATTGACCCACACACATTCACAAGCTGATGATGAGCTACACTGTAGTCACAGTGGCTGACAAAAGTGATGCTGCCATACACTGGTGCCACTGGTGCTTCTGACCACAAGCAGGTAAGGAGAGTTAAGTGTCTTGCCCAAGGACACAACAACTGTGACAGAATGAGCAGGGCTCAAACTTGCAACCCTACGATTACGGGGCAGACACGTAACTCCTCTGGCACTGCGAGATTGCGAAATAAAACTACATTTTTATGTAACACTGATACATTTTATAGAACATTCTTTTTTACTGTTAGTCTGCAGGATATACAGGGTAAGAAAAGAACTGAAAATGTTTAGAATGTTTTGAGCATTTCCCATCTGATGAAATTACAAAAGACCAAAATGCATCATATTGTTGTGAAAATGATACAAATCTATTATTTTAAATGTGCTTTTGTGGACAGGATGTTTTAAACAACCTGGGTTCATCAGAACTGGATGAAGATGATCTCATGTTGGACCTGGATCTCTCTGACGATCAGCGACATCGTCATGGTAACTTCATCATTCTTACAGTTTTTTTAATGTTGGTTGACTATAAATGGTAAATGGCCTGTATTTGTATAGTGCCTTCTTAGGGTTCTACAACCCCCCAAGGTGCGACACAGCACACTTAGCATCCATTCACACACACATTCACACACTGGTGGGGATGAGCTACGATGTAGCCACAGCTGCCCCAGGTGCCACCAGGCAAGGACACACCAGCAGCATTCTCTGGTGGGAGCTCGGATCAAACCCGCAACCTTCCAATTACTGGACAACCCGCTCTACCTCCTGAGCTACTGCATTCCCAGGCTGTCTATAAAAAAACCAAAGTCTTTTAACATTTTCATAAAACAATATTTCACACACTTAACTTTATTTCTAAATTCTGCTGATATTTACTCCTTCTGTATGTCATTGATGTTTCCTTCCCACCTGGGCTGGTTTGCCTCTCCTTGTCATTGCTGTCATTTTGTTTGCTGTGTGTCACTCTGTGTCTTTGAGAAGCTGCATTTATTCTGACACTTTACCACACAAAACCAGCATTCTTCTTCTTCTCCTTCAACATGTGACACAACTTTCTTCCAGCCACCTCATTTACAGCAATTTAGCTCCTTTGTTGTTTTGGCGTTTTAGTCACTCTGACGTACTGCATGTTTGAGGAGTGGCTCTCAGTGAAGTCGTGTTGCCCGTGTACTACCTCAGCTCTGCAAGGACTTTCAAACTGTTACTTCAGCTACTGTCTACACAACACATTAACATTTAACGACTGAGTACGGAAGGCTGCCATAACCTGTCCATGTGAGAACATGTTCAAAATATCTTAATCAGTCTCCCACTGAATTAGGATTTCTAGCATGTCAAAAGAAGAATTTGACTCATTTTTAGTAGATGCAAAGTTAAATAATTAACTTCTGCAAGCAACGGTAAAAGAAATAAAAAAAAAGTATTTTTTTAATTAAGAATAGACACTGATTTAGGTAAATAAAATGAACAGTACAGAACAACAGAGAACCCCCACCCCGCTGCAATAAAACAGGTAAAGTCACACTAACTCAAAATACACACAAAATCCTACAAAATACATAAAAGACACAATAACAAAAATAATGATTTAAAAAAATAGGTCCTCAAACACACACACACACACACACCAACACACACGCACGCACGCACGCACACACACACACACACACACAAAATATGACATATAAGACAACCATACATAATTACATTTTCCAATTGAGCCACTAACTTTGTTCCTGATCCTCTCCAGGTGTATGTGTGACGTTGTTTCTGCAACCCAATGGCCGTATGTTGGAGCATGAGAGTCTTTCAATTTTGAAAGAATGAGACTTTTAGCGAGCAAACGGCAAAAAGAGTTCTGTAATTGGCGACCATCTGTAATTGGCAAGTGTTGAAAGAATCATCCACTTATCCAAAATGGTCAAAGGGTCACGGCGCACAGTGGTCCCACAGATCCTGGAGAGCGCATCACAAATAGGCCCCCAATACCCCTGTGGTTTCAGGCATGTCCAGAACATGTGGAGAATTGTAGCAGGCAACCGTCCACAGCGTTCACACTTAAGTTCCAAATTTGTCTTGATTTTACACAAACCCTTTTTACAAGACACGCCATGCCGGCAAATCGGCGTAATATTTCCGCACCAGTGTGCATCATAAATGTGACATGCCAGCATGGTGATGCGCAAATGTTGCAGCATTCGTTCTGCCTTACTTTGTAGTAATATTGCGGTAATTGTCTGTCTTGTAAACAGCAATTGTGCCTTGGCGCAACAGAGAGAGGTGTCATGATGGCATAGGTAGTTAATGCCGAGCTTCGGATGGCAACTAGATTGAAAATGAAAGTAAATATGGTTCGTAAGTTTTGCTTTTTGAACTAAATCAGCTGAGACAGCAAATTGGAACACTGCAGCGCTCCATGAGCTTCTCTCCATTAGAGCTGGAGGTCGGATCACCAGAGACTGCGTGGGGATTGTCAGGGACAGAAGCTTTTATGAGCGGCTTGTTAGAAAAACTTAATGAACATGGCTTTGATCGCAATAAAAAGCAAGTTAGTCCAACACAAACGGAAGTCCGCGGCAGCGCAGGGACCGCCCCATTCCCCTTTATACCTCCATCGCGTAATCTTTGTAAAAAGGACATGATTGCACCACATTACCCCCATGGTGGGACCACCTTTAAACAACCTAAGGCTCCCTAGTGCTGCCACGGAGTTGTGGCAAATTGACGGCATTGTTTTTTAAAAACGGATATAGTCTCTACTAGGACCAATGCAAACAATACACCACTGGATAGCACTGTGTCTCACACAGATCAAGGATTTATGAATATGTCCTACAGTTTAAAATTTCACCCAGAAGAGTCTGAGATGGGAACTGGGGGGAAAACATTCAGAGTAAGACTTGACAAAGTGTCTCAGTTATAAATACCTAAAGAACTGTGATTTGTGGATATGAAATTTAGCCATCAGTTGTTCAAAGGAGGCTAATCAACATATAGGCCATAGAGAGAGTGCATGCATTTACTCGCCCATCTAGACACAGATGGAGTAAACATGTGGGTTTTTTTTGTCAAAGGGAGTTAAAAGGGAGTTTTCCTCTCCACTGTTGCGCTTGCTTAGTATGAGGATTGCTGTAAAGTCACTGACTGGGGTCAATGTGACAAATGAAGTTTCACAGTCTAAAACAAGACAAAACAAAAGCACACACACCAATAATGCTCTCCGCTCTTTATGAAGTAATGTAACTGAAAAAAAGAAGTGATCATCTCAGTTCGGTGCGTATATCGATACCAGGACAACTGGAAGTCTGAAAAAAACCACCCACCCACAATTATATAATGTCCTGCAGAATCTTTATGTTCACATGTATGTATGTTCAAATCACGATGGACCACAAATGTGGTAATGAATAATCCCGGACTTAGCAGTGTAGTGAAATATAGATCGTATATTTATACACTGTAATTAGATCTAGATATTATAATCAGAAGCGGTTGTTTTTATCATCAGGGAGTTTACTTAAACACTTTGTATTGACTGAGAGACAAGAAAGAGAGTTGGGATCGTTTAAGAATCTTTAATTTCTATAATTATAAATTCTTACAATCTACCAGGACTAACTCTGTGATGGATGCATATGGATTAGAATGTTATCGTGTTGGTGTGTGTGTGTCCAGAATCTCTAGGCTGACGTAGGCGGATCTGGTTGTTATGACTACAAATCACGAGGCTTCAGAAGCTGATGACATGAGCAGCCATTTTGCCGTGACTACGTACCGTCTGGAGCCTCCCGTGTTAGATCAGGAAATGCCAGGTCCTTGGACCTTCAGATGTACTGGAGCTGGTAGAACAGCGGTCACAGCACGACAAAGCCCGTCTGCGGATCGACTCCCAATAGTAGCGGCAGGCGTCAGCGAGTTCAGCTCTTATTTTGAAGGGACGTCGTCTTGTTGTTCAAACGACGGAAATCTCCAGCTTGACAGTTCTCAGCTTAAAGTAGGAAAGTGCAGCTGGCCAGCCTGCACCTTTCTTAGCGATGACAAGGTGGAACTCCTTAGGAACTCAGATTGAACAGAGCTGAGGTTAAAATGGAACTGAGAATAAAATGGCGTTGCCTTGTTTTGTATCCCCTAGTTGTTTATAAATCTTAGTAAACCGGATTGGACAACTTCATTAAACAACCCAGATTCTGCCCTACGACAGACGAAAGTTCTGATTGGCTGAGAACAATGTGTCATGCGTTTCCATGTTAATGTAGATCAGTCTGTCTGGTGCAGTCCTTTTATTCATTAAACACATAACTCATGACATCCTTATTTCACAGATCATTCACCTGATTATTATTGATCAACATATGTTTCGATTAGCTTTATCACAAATAAATTACTTTGATTAATTAAAAGCGTTCTTCTTCTCGTTTTCTGTCTCTTCTCCTGAAATGTAAACATTCAGAAACCAGCACCTGACCTTGGCGATTCCTACACGTTGTTACTGTGTAGAGGGGCAGCTGTTAAGGGCAGACAATTAGAATATTCATAATGCTACAGCAGTTTTGGTCACACAGTGTACTGTGTGAACCAACTCAGCAAATACTACACAGAAACAGCTTTCACTCACGCACATTCCCTAGTTAGACGAGAAGTCTCTCGAGATTCAAAGAAAAGGAAACTGACACGGCGGAGGAACATGCTGCTAGTGTCTGCCATGTTGCTTTCTTATTGGCTAAACGTCATGTTTAACAGGCAGCATTTGTTTGTCTCCAAATGTCATACAAAGACAATCAAACATGTTTGAAAACCCAATTTTATGATCATAGCAGTCCAGACAGTTCAAACATCATTGAGCAGTAGCTCAACAGGTTGAGCGTGTTGTCCAGTAATCGGAAGGTTGCAGGTTCGATCCCGGCTCCGGACAGAGAATTCTGCTGTTGTGTCCTTGGGCAAGACACTTAACCCACCTTGCCTGCTGGTGGTGGTCGGAGGGTCCGGTGGCGCCTGTGCTCGGCAGCCTTGCCTCTGTCAGTGCGCCCCAGGGCAGCTGTGGCTACATCGTAGCTCATCCCCACCAGTGTATGAATGTGTGTGTGAATGGATGAATGATACACTGTAGTGTAAAGCGCTTTGGAGTCCTTACTCTGAGAGGTGCTATACAAGTGCGGGTCATTCCTGGAAGGGGCGGGGCTGGTCAAAAATGAGCATGATTACCTTGTCTTCAGGCTACTCAAAACATGGCCCACACAAGAGTGACAGTTAAATCTGAAAATTTCCTGATAAGTTCAAACGAATCAGAAATAAACGACAAAGGAATCAACCCTCTTGTAAAAAATGACCAAGGTGTGAAAAATGAACTAGCCCTAATTTGTTTGACTCAGGTAGCTTGAAATGTAACAACCGAATTTTTTCCTTCAAGTTGATCTGAAACTTCATGATTAATAATAAATACAGCAGTGTGTGGGTTAATGTGAAGTTAGATTTATCTCTATTTCATCTGTAAGTCCTTGACAGGCTCACATATTCATTCAGCTAAAATCAAATAAAGTAAAGACTACTACAGGACCTTCAATCCTAATAAATCACATTTCTATGCTAATATGTTTGAAGAGATTTGGGAGAAAGCTGGGTTTGAACAGAGCATAAAATAAGCATACACACAAAAATAATGAAAGCATCTGAACAGGCTGATGAAAAGCTAAAGGAGGTACCATCATTAATACATACTAGCACACAAGCGTGCATGCTTAGTCATTAGACCTAATGGTTTGCAGACTGTAGCATGAAATTAAAGGTTTGATGAATTATTCTCATAAAGTCAAGCGACTAAGAAGTTGTGCTTGCAATAAAAGAGTAAGGTTCTTCAGCAAAATCAAAGTGAGTCAGTTAAGGACACATGTACACGTGGACAGCCTTAGAAACGGGCACAGTCTCATAACGATGTACACACACACTCACTGCTGGATATATATGTATACTCATCATACTATCCCACACACCTACACATTCTCAATGGTGGTTCACAGTTTTACCTCCCTCATGTGGCCTGTTGAAGCCTTTATTAAAAAGAAAGCTGTTTCACAGCAATTTATGACCAACAGTGTTGAGCATCAGGGCTGGAATCTCACATGCTTCCACGGTGGAACCTCTTCAAAGTTAAGAGGCAGAAATCTTTGTCGTTGCCACTTAACGCTCATACGATGCTAAAGTTAAGACAGATAGAAAGTTGAAGGGTTTAATATGTTGTATCAGATTTGTTGCTCAATATGAGTATTGACAAGAAATGTGGCTTAATGTTGTTTTTTTTGTTGTTTGGGTGGGTTCACAGTGTCCAGAGAAGACTCGAGCCAATCACTGCTCTCCTGTCTCAACCTGCTGCCTTCCCCACTGGATCCATCCGGAGACTGCATTGTGGGAAAAGAGCACAATCAGAGGTAAATGTGTGGAGTGTATATGGCAGGGTGTCCGCGGGTCCTTAAAAAGTCTTAAAAAGTTTTAAATTTGCTTTTCCAAATTTAAGGCCTTAAAAATCCTTTAAAATGACAAATAATCAAAGGTCTTAAATTACCGAAGACCCAATGAACAAGATTCTTTTATTTCTATAAAATTTTTGTGAATTTCTAGTTAGTGTTCAGCATTTTTTGTGTATGATGTTGGCGTAAGCGGAACCGTACACATTTAGTGAAAGGGGGCAATTTTTAGATGAGCACATTAGCTGGTTAAGCTAGTGGGAGCTTGCGCCATGGGGAAGTGCAAGTTTAAGGGTAACTGGGTGGCTAATCCCACGTTCGCGACGTGGTTAGCACTGGTTCCAGGCAATAGCTGGAAATTATAGCTTAAATTTAATTTAAAAAATAGCTTAAATTTGGTCAAAGTGGCCTTAAAAAAGGTCTTAAAAAGTCTTAAATTTGGCGCCCTTAAACCTGCAGATACCTTGTATGGATACAACATATACATGCTTATCTGCTCCATAATTGGCTAAATAAATAAATAAAAAATGAAAAGCTTTCCAGCATATTTGGACCTGTTTTTACTTTGTGCAGAGTCGTCTTTAATTTTCAAACAGCAGATGCGGTAACTTGATAAGGAGTTTAAGCCATCATATTTAATGGTTCTAGCTTATTTAGAAACCTGTTGATGGAGAGGGGTCTTCAATCAACAATCAAAGTGTCTGCAGTTTAATCTCAGCCTCTTATGTCAAAGCATCCTTGAACAAAAGCTGAACCCGACATTTTGTTGCTCTGGATATGGATGCTCATAATGAATTTGAAAGTCTTTGTCTTTGAAGACAGGAAAAGTACCAAATAAAGGCTGGGTTATTACACACCTTTTCAAAAACCTTTAATCAGTTGTCACATACCTTTTGGAGAAATTACCTAAATTTAGTCTAAGGAGCATGTCCAAGTTGCACCAAGTCACACAGTAATATAGGTGCATAAACTGTTGTGTATGTCACCCTGCCCATGCTGTAGTGTAAAGAACCATCTGGAGTAATGAGAACGGTATTATTTCTGTTATTTCTTCAACTTGTTACTGATGTTGGTTCCCATTTGTTCATGACAGTGCACTTCTGTTATTTAGTAGAAAGCATTTTCCAAAACCAGTTATCGATTCTAAATGATGGATTTAGTTGTAAAACCACAAGAACACAGGGATACTACTGGTACTTTTTGGTTTGAAGCCAAATGAAAAAGGATAACTTAAAAGCTGATGGACTGACCCATCTTAAACCGTGAACGTGCATGAAGCAGCCTGCTCGACCCGAGCATCTCTCTTTTTCTGTGATTTTACACAAAAACAGGCAATCACAGTAAAAATGCCAGGGCTCATTCTACAGGACCAGGGCATTGCAGGAGAATGTATGAAGAAGAAATGTATTATTTCTATACACGTTTTGGCTGTCAAACTTCCATAATGCCCCTTTAAATATCCAAGTTGTCTCGGTTGTCTCCTGTTAGCTGAAAGGGAACATGTAGGGCTTCCTTTAGGGTTGTGAAAGATGCTAAACAAATAAAATATGATTGACTGATGTTGAGCTTCTGTTCACACGAGCACCACTGGCAAGGACAGCTTCATGTGTAATTTGATTCGGCCTCTTCTCTTTATGTTCAGAATCTAGATACATCTCTCTCTCTCTCTCTCTCTCTCTCTCTCTCTCTCTCACCTCTCTCTCTCTCTCTCTCTCTCTCTCTCTCTCTCTCTCTCTCTCTCTCTCTCTCCCTCTCCCCAACACACACACACACACACACACACACACACACACACACACACACACACACACACACACACACACACACACACACACACACACACACACACACACACACACACACACAGATCGTCTCTGAGGATAGAGCTTATTTGGTTTTATAGAGCCAGTGGGTAATAAAAGCTTGTATCACCAGAGCTGTCTGGTGGTCTGTCTGACAAGCCTGCAGATTGTTATTACTTTACCTTTCAGTGTTCCTCCCCCCACTAGTTGAATTTATTTTATTTTATTTTTCACCGCTGGCATCCATAGAGTAAATATAGTGTATCTGTCTAAACATGTTTGCTCATCAATAAATAGGAAATGATACTTTGTTTTCGGGATTGTGTTGGCCAAGTTGAATTAGTTAGTTTTTGAAGCTCAGGTTGAAAAATCTTTCCTTGGGAAACCTAGAGTTTCATCTTTTTTTTTTTCTGAGAGTTGATATATTTTTTTATTCCAGTGTAACATTTGGGGAAAGTTTTAGTGAATAATGAGACATTTTCTGTCTGGGCAGTACCAGTGAGTAATGCAAGTTGTTTGGCATCCTTTTCAACTCATTTAAACAGCTAGTTTAGTTTTTTATTTACACCAAAATGTCACTTAGCCTCCATGAGCCCCCTCCTACATGCTTAGAAATATCTGACTTATTTCAGCCTTCATGGTAGATTTGAGGCTAAAATGTCATTTTTCTGAAGCCATTTTTTAAAGTTTGATTGGGTTTACTATGATGGATGTATCACAGTCCCACCAGAAAAGTAAAAAATTATTCCTTCCTCTGTAATCCAATCAGCGACAAGGCAAGAATGTGTCAGTTTAACAAGGACAGCAGATGAATCATGAAAGTAGCTTTCAGCCAAATTCTAACATCTTGTTGACATACCAATGAGATGTCATCTATGTATGTCCTAACCCTATTGCCCTAGGGATGTAAGAAAATATTGATACGCAAAATATACAATAGGTTGTGTTATGAACAGTGATGGGAATAACGCCTTTTAAAATAACGATGTTACTAAAAATAGTTTTTTCAGTAACAAGTAATCTAATTACCGTCTTTTTTTTATCATAAAGCCGTTTCCGTTACTGATAAGAAAATGTGTGCGTTACTAATTCAGCAGCGCGGTGTGTTGAAGCAGTCGTCAGCTGATTGGGAGCTAAAGAAACGGATGTTTTCATCCAAGCGCATCACAGCCCGTGAAGAACGAAGGAGACGTGATGAATAGTCTACAGCTGCAGACCCGCAGATTTGCTGCTGCAGGTGTGAATCTGCAGCCGTGCCCTTCTTGGCGTGACGGCGGGATGCCCCGAAGGTCCGCTCACCTGTTCACCACCTTCCTAGATCATCCAACTGTAACCTGTTTCTGATCATGTCTTTAGTCCCGCTGTAACTGATGCATCAGTCTCAGACATCATGGACGCTCAGGTGTTATTAGAACTACCTGTGTGTCTTTACCACCCCGCTTTAGCTCTTCTGTGTTTGGGTCTGACCCAAGTTAGTAAATGTAATTCCTCCATTAGGTTTGTGCCTTTTCTAGTGTCATTTTAAAGGACTTTTATTTATTTATTTAACCATTACTAGATTACCAGCAACTGAAATGCTACTAAAAACACACAATTATGTGTAGCTGGAAAAATTAGAATATTGTGCAAAATTACATTTATTTCAGTAATGTAACTAGACTGAGAGACCATGTAAAGGCTCAGGGACTTTTACAGGTGTTTCTATTAGCAATTGTAAATTTTTGCTGATTGGGGTTTTGTTAAATATCACACAGTGACATTTTAATAGTCTAGATAAGTGCAATGTTTCTGTTTTCCTGCATGGTGACACAGTGGTTAGCACTGTTGCCTCGCAGCACGAAGGTTGCAGGTTCGAAACTCGGCAGCAGCCTTTCTGCGTGGAGTTGCGTGTTCTCCCCATGCATGCGTGGTTTTCCTCCGGGTACTCGGGTTTCCCCTACAGATCACAACATGCCCTATAGGTTATGAATTGTAAGTCGCTTTGGATAAAAGCGTCTGCCAAAAAAATAAACAAAAACATTATAGTTACTGCTGTTAAGTGCCCACTTATTTCAATTATTCAGTTTTATACAAAACATTTGGACATACATACATTTTATTATGTTCCAGTCATTAGTCATTTATATTTTAGTATTGTAGTAATTTATAGTAAATTAATTTTAATTAAGAGGGGAACACATTTTTCTTGCATCCTATAATGAAAAAAGTAACAAAATAGTTATTTTTGTTGGTAATTAGTTACTTTTATAATCTTGTAACTTGGTAAGTAACTAAGTTACTTTGTTGACAAAGTAATCAGTAACTATAACTAATTACTTTTTAAAAGTAACGTTCCTAACACTGGTTATGAAACAGAATCAATATTTATTAGCAGTGTATCAATTTTTGTTGAAAATGTTCATACCATACCATGCCATGCCAAACCATAGCATAGCACAGCATACCATACCATACCATACCATACCATACCATGCCATGCCATGCCGAACCATAGTATAGCACTGCATAGCATACCATACCATGCCATGCCATGCCATGCTATTCCATTCCATTCCATTCCATATCATAACATACTATACAATAATAGCTCTTTTCCATTGTCGGGTGTGGCTATTTTTGCACCAGTGTGTTCTGGTATGGGTTCTGAATTTTCAGGCGAATGTTCCAATTGCAGTTTTGGTCATCACATCAGCAGGAGGGGTTAAGTGAACCGTCATGCGCGATTTTATAAGTTGTTCAGCTATTCAGTATTTCTGTTCTGCGATAAATGGTCCACAGAGCTAAAGACTAAAACAAAATGCTTACCACAGTCCCTACATGGGACTCCAGAGTGCAGTTGCTGAGACCAGAGGCCTGCTTAGGCTTCTGTCCGTAACTATTAACTAAATTGGGATTTAATTTCTTCATCTTGGCCCGACACTGTGCCGAGATCCTCGGCTGCCATCCACTGAAAAAAAACTTTTTTACTGATCCGTCTAGCTCCGCCTGTGGACTCTCACAATGACGGTGGGGAATGTATGGAACTGAAGGTGACTATAATTTGCTGCTACTTGCTGGCATTTTTTACACATTCATGTACAGCTAATGAAAATACAAACAATGGAACTGCGTTAGTTTTGCTTGTTGCATGTAGTGAGGTATTTCTGTCAACCAACCAGTGGA